CAGTAAAATGTTGGCAACCCAAACACAGCAGTAGATCAAAAAGATCTATTAACAAACCTAAAAGAAGATACATCATGATCAAGTGGGATTTATACCTGGGACACAGGGATGTGTCAGCATCCACAAATCAATCAATGTGATACACCACAATAACAAAATGAGGAATAAAAACCACATGATCATCTCAATAGATGCAGAGAAAGCATTTGACAAGATCCAACAGTCATTTATGATGAAAGCTCTTAAGAAAACAGAGATAGAAGGAAATTACCTCAACATAATAAAGGCCATATATGACAAGCCCACAGCCAACATCATACTCAATGGGGAAAAGCTGATCACCATCCCTCTGAGAAGAGGAACCAGACAAAGATGCCCACTATCACCACTCTTATTCAACATACTACTGGAGGTTTTGGCCAGGGAAATTAGGCAAGAGAAAGGAATAAAAAGAATCCAAATAGGGAGTAAAGAAGTGAAACTTTGTTTGCAGACGACATGATCTTATATATAGAAAACCCTAAAGAATCCATCAGAAAATTCTTAGAAATAATTAACAACTACAGTAAAGTTGCGGGGTACAAAATCAACTTACAAACATCAGTTGCATTTCTGTACTCTAATAATGAACTTACAGAAAAAGAACTCAAGAATACAATTCCATTTACAATTGCAACAAAAAGAATAAAGTACGTAGGAATAAATTTAACTCAGGAGGTGAAGGACTTATACAATGAAAACTACAAGACATTATTGAAAGAAATAGATAATGACATAAAGAGATTGAAAGAGATTCCATGCACATGGATTGGAACAATAAACATAGTTAAAACGTCCATACTATCTAAAGCAATCTACAGATTCAACGCAATCCTAATCAGAATCTCAGTGAAATTCTTCATGGAAATACAGCAAAGAACCCTAAAATTCATAGGGGGCAACCAAAGACCCTGAATTGCTAAAGCAATCCTGAGAAAAAAGAACAAAGCTGGAGGCCTCACAATCCCTGACTTCAAAAGGTACTGCAAAGCCATAGTGATCGAAACAGCATGGTACTGGTACAAAAACAGACACACAGATCAATGGAACAGAATTAAGAGCCCAGAAATAAAACTGGACATATATGGCAGCTAATATTTGAAAAAGGTGCCAAGAACATACAATGGAGCAAAGATAGTCTCTTCAATAAATGGTATTGGGGAAACTGGACAGCCACATGTAAAAGAATGAAAGTAGACCATTATCTCACTCCATACACAAAAATAAACTCAAAATGGATCAAAGACTTGAAGATAAGTCCTGAAACCCTAAAACTCCTCGAAGATAATATAGGTAGTACACTCTTTGATGTTGAACTTAAAAGGATCTTTTCGAATGCCATATCTTCTCAGACAAGGGAAACAAAAGAAAAAATAAAAAAGGGGGGGTGCATCAGACTAAAGAGCTTCTGCAAGGCAAAAGAAACTAGGCTCAAAACCAAAAGACAACCCACCAATTGTGAGAAAATATTTGCAAATCATATATCTGATAAAGGGTTAATCTCCATAATGTATAAGGAACTCACACAACTGAACAACAAAAAAAACAAAGAGCGTGACCAAAAAATGGGCAGAGGATATGAACAGACATTTTTCCAAAGAAGATATACAGATGGCCAATAAACACAGGAAAAGACATTCAATATCACTAACGATCAGGGAAATGCAAATCCAAACTCCATTAAGATACCACCTTATGCCTGTTAAAATGGCTGTAATCACTAAGGTTAAAAATAACAAATGTTGGAGAGGGTGTGGAGAAAAGGGAACCCTCATACACTGCTGGTGGGAATGAAGCTGGTGCAGCCACTATGGAAAACAGTATGGAGATTCCTCAAAAAACTGAAAATAGAACTGCCATGTGACCCAGCTATCCCACTACTGGGTATCTACCCAAACAACTTGAAATCCACAATCTAAAGTAACATATGCACCCCTATGTTCATTGCAGCAGTAGTCACCATAGCCAAGACATGGAACCAATCCAAGTGCCCATCGACTCATGATTGGATAAAGATGATGTGGTATATACACACGATGGAATACTACTCAACCATAAAAACAGACAAAATCATCTCACTTGCAACAATATGGATGAAGCAGGAGGGAATTGTGCTAAGCGAAATAAGCCAGAGGGAGAAAGACAAACACCAGATGATTTCATTCATATGTGGAATATAAACAAACACATGGACAAAGAGAACAGTTTAGTGGTTACCAGGGGAAGGGGGTGAGGGGTGGGCACAGCCGGTGAAGGGGAATGCCTATGTGGTGACAGACAAGAAATAATGTACAGGGTCTAGCCCGGTGGCGCAGTGGTTAAGTTCACACGTTCCGCTTCTCGGCAGCCGGGGCTTTGCTGGTTCAGATCTGGGGTGCAGACATGGCACCGCTTGGCAAAAGCCATGCTGTGGTAGGCATCCCACATATAAAGTAGAGGAAGATGGGCACGGATGTTAGCTCAGGGCCAGTCTTCCTCAGCAAAAAGAGGATTGGCAGTAGTTAGCTCAGGGCTAGTCTTCCTCAAAAAAAAAAAACAAAAAAAAAACAAAAGAAAGAATGTACAACTGAAATTTCACAATGATGTAAACTATTATGAACTCAAATAAAAAAAAAAAAAAAGACAAACCAGATTGGGAGAACTGATCGTTCCATGATGATAGATAACTCATGACATGATTGATAGTTTTGATTGATAATGGGCTCTTACAAATCAATGAAGAAACTGCTAACACCTTCCAATGGACAAAGGACAATATAGTCTAAAAATATCAAATACAAATAGCCTATAAACCTATAAACAAAAGTTCAATCTTTGTAGTAATTGAAGAAGTACAAATAAAAACAATAAAAAGGTATGAACTTAACTTTCCAAAAAAAAAAGTATAAATGCAAATTAGTAATAAGCACCTTTGCCAGTATCTAAGAGTCAAATGATGCCAAATTCCCCCTTAGATAGCAAAAAGGGAACCAATCTTCTGGACTCCTGACAAACATCTGTTTTGTACAAAGTCCAGAGGAGGTAGGTGTGAGACATGCTCACTTTCTGATGAGATATTTTAACATAACATTCATTCAACCTGAACTGAACCTGAACATTGAAACCCACTGCGATGGTACACTTTGTGATAGACTGCAAGGGCTTCCTCCTTTTAGATCTACAAGGAAACTAGTTTGTGCATAAATTCAACTATAGCTCTTAAAAACAATGCTGAAATCACAGGAATAGGGGCAGGGTGAAGGCATGGGTAATCACTTAGGCTCAATTTGGAAATTCTTTAGCAATTTCACCCTGATATCTGAAGGTAGGTCATTGTCTTGGGTGTCACATTTCTTTCACATCCTTGTTTACATCCTGCAGTCAAATTAGAACTTTTAAAAATAGATAATATCATAAGGATGTAAACCAATAAAATAATAGGAACCCATAATTCCACCCATCAGAAGCAATCATTTTTAGCCTATTATATTTTCTTGCAATTTTATTCCTATTTATTTTACATTGTTGAGATCACATTGTATGAATAAATACATATCCCATATGCATTTTATTTGAACTTTATTATTTATGATATCCCTTTGATTAAGAAATCCTTGTACCCATTATTTTATAAATATTACATTTCATTACAAGGGTATATTGTGATATACTTAAATCTTCCACTATTGAACATAGAAGCTATTTCAATTTTCCGCAATTATAAATAATACTTCAGGGAATGTTTTCATACTTTTTTCAATTATCTTCTTGAGGTAAGAGCTTGAGAGTATGAAAAGCTTTAATGCTCACAGAAAATATTTTCAAATTGAGTTTCAGAATATTTTATGAAGTTTGACTACCACCATAAGTAAAGGTGATTATTTACCATATCTGTACTAGGTTTGAAGTTTACTACTTGAAAATTCTTTGCTAACTTCATAGGTTAAAATTTATTCATTCTTTTAATTCTGCCTGATTTTGTGTATCATGAATATGTACAGACCAAACAAGAAGAAATCAGATGGAGCAAATGGCAAGTACTCTCCCATTATCAGCCTGTCATAAGTCCCAGGTAAGTATTTCAAAAAAACTCCTTTTAGAAGAAGACATAGCATCAGTAGGAAAAAATTCTTCAGAAATCAAGAAGTTGGCCTCTTCCATACTATCAGGTTGGAGACATTTCTTCATATTTTTGAATTGAGCTTTTAATGTTAATTCATATTCATTATCCAGAGGCTCATTTACTTGGTGTCCTGTTACTTTGAGCCTCTTTAAACCTTCTTAGTACCTGATGAAGCGTATAGAGCTCCAAATAAATGTAAATGTTCATATCTTTGCACATAGTAGGAAAACTATTGAATTTAACTTTAAGAAATGATGGAGGAAAGCGATACATTCTGCCTATAACACAAGAACACAGTATAGGGAAACTGATGTGTATTCAATCTTTGCTTGCCTATAGGAAGTACTAAAAAAATCTTTGAACTGAGCTGGGCTCTCATTACCATTTATCCTTTGGTACTGAGGACAGAGCTAAGAAAACATCCTAGTTGAATTGCACATGAGGAATAATTCTTGCTAACCATTGTACAGAGAAGAACACCATATTTGTATACGCAACGATGCTACACACTTACGTTTCCTGCCTTCCACTAAAACAACAGGAGTTCTATCTATCCATATGAAATAGGAAATGAGATTGATCTTGGGAATTATGCTATAAGTTAACATTTGAAAACTACTGTTTTTCCCTCTCTGTAGGCGAGTCCACCTAGAAATGATATAAAACGTCCAGGGAACCAGAAAGTTTACCACATTAGACAAGAAAATTATAAGAAAAAAAAACTGTTCAAAAAACCTAACCTTTGGAAGAAAAAACATTTCTTCTGTAGAAAGAGTTAAATTTATTGCTCTGAGGTTTTGGAAAAACCAGACTCATTTTAATATACACTGAGATAGAATGAAATAAAATTTGAAAGTACCTGAAAGGCATCCTGATATTCAGCCTCTCTGCATACTTGCACAGCGTGTCCCATGGAATGTGAATTTTAATAAACATGATATCAGGGTTTGCAACAGCTGGCTGCAAAGGATAGCAGGACAGGCACCATTATTCAGAACAAGAGCTGAGGATAGCATGCCACAATTTGATCTGAGAGGAGAGAACGCTGTCCCCTTGCCTACCCATGAATCATTGTCACTCCTTTAAAAGGAATATGGATAACAAATTCTTAATACAGAAAAACCATAATAAAAATGCAATAATGCCATTGTTTTAAGAAATAATCACCTACGTGAGTTAGTGCATTTTCTTATACTGACCATTATCAACATGAGAATCCTCAATCAGAACAATCATGAGCCAGTTAGGAATCCGGAGTTATTCTTGGTGAACATTTCATCATGATCCTCTCATTCCTACTCAGAAGGGGTAGAAAACACTGACACTTGCCACCAGCCCTTCATTATTTCATTCACTTATTCTTCTACCACAATTTATTTAAAAATTACTACTTTCTGGGTGCTATGAAAATTCTGGGGAAAAATGGAGTATAAGGCATACAAGTCCATGACCTTACAGAGCTGTCAAACTTGCACACTTACTCTAAGCTTTCCATCCACTTATACTTGTATCAGGAGATCATAAGAAATTACGCATCTTTGATAGACAAGTGGTGTTTTAGCACAGTCAAGTGTGCATCAGAATTATCTAAGGAGCTTTTTACAAAATTTTCTATCATGGTCTAATTTTGAAGAATTCCCAGAATTGGATTCTATTGTTGCAAATATTTTGCTTATATCACTAAGAGAATCAGACGTCTTTCTGAACCAGATGATCATCAAGCTTCTTAGATTTTGTCCAGTAGTCTAACATAAGTAACCATTTAAATAACTGACTATTTTGGCATTATGTATCATTCATGGTCATATTCTACTTTTTTACAAAAAGCCTATACAGTTATTTTCTGAAGATCCTACACTGTCTGAGGCCCGGAGAGCAAGGATCAAGTTTGTGACCATTCTAGCAATGAATTCCACAGAGCTGATCGTTCATGTGATCACAGGAGCTGAACATTTGTAAAAAAGAACTGCGGTTTGCTTCCATTTAGACACATATGCCAGGTTAGATACAGCTGGACTACATTTGGTTAACATTGTTCATTTAAATTTCAACTAGAAAGAACTTGTCAAGAAACGTGTCAAGCTCAAAAGCTTAAAAGTATGGTAGAAATTTATCAGTTTAATTTAAAATCATATATGTTTTATAATTAAATGGCACAATTTTTACATTCATAAATTCATATTTTGCAAATCATTATGGAAAAAATAGCAAAATATGTTTTTACATCAGTACAATTTCCAAAGGACTTTCCTACTTTGAATATATTTATTTTACGTTAAAGGTAAAGAATGATGGAAATAAAAATTGACAGTGACAGAACACATAGTATATTTTAAATATCTACAGGCCTTTGAATTCAGACCAAGGTTACACGCATTTGCTATGCTTGAGGAAATAAGGTGTACAATTTTTTTAAAATGAGCACTAATTCATTCAAACAATTATTTGCTAAAAAAATATATTTTTTAACTCAGCTGGAAATCTGTCATTGATGAAGGAAAAGGGGAACAATTATGATGTTGATATCTCCAAGCTCTTTTTAGTGACTGTCCCAGACTTGGTTGAAAGCTTTCAGTGCAGGAGAGGTAAAGACAAGAAAACCTTTTTAAAACATAAAGCGGCATAGGCATTCACCTATTGAAATGACTGCAGCATCTGAGGCAAGAGAAAGAAGCATTTCATGTTTTACTATAGACACACATTGCTTAAGGATGGGGATAAGTTCTGAGAAATGCATCATTAGGTGATTTTGTCCTTGTGCGAACATCATAGAGTGTACTTACACAAACCTAAATGGTATAGCCCACACACACCTAATGGTGCTAATCTTATAGGACTACTGTTGTATACGCGGTCCGTCATGGACCAAAACATTGTTATGCAGTGCATGCCTAGCTTTTCCTGCTTTATTCATGCAAAAGTTCTTATATTCAATATGATAACAAAGATCCTTCTTTTGAAATTGTGGTGTTGGCTACTAGTGCTACACCAACTTGCCTTTCACTGCCTGGCACAATTTAAATTTCATCAATCCTGACTGCCTACTTAGAAGAAATCACATGGCATGGTAGAAAAAACATGGTGCTTGGAGTCACAAAAACTTAAGTACAAACTGGATCTTTACCATTTACTAGCTCTATGACCATGGGAAAATTACCCAACCTCTCTGATACTCTGTTTTCTCTCCTGAAAAATGGAGAGAATGATCTTAACTCACAAAGTTGTTGTGAGTGTTATGAGAGACTGGACATATGAAGAGCCCAAGGATAACAGGTTATCCAGAACTGGGCATTCTCAGTTGAGAGCATTCCTCTCCAATCAGACCATAGCCAAAATAATGGATAATTTCAAATGTTCACTAGAATCTTTGTATTTTCTTTTTCTCAGTAAACGGCTAACTGATTCATCTTTGGTGGAGCCTGTCCCTTGATATTGTAAGCCTTCGATAATAGGACTTTGAGTTTTACAAGTATAAAACCAGTAACAATCTACGATTTCTGGGAAACTCTGAAGTAGAGTGACTTGAATCAAATGATTGAAGAGTTAAATATTTTTTCTGGTAATATAAACTGGGTATAAATTATAATCAAACTTTATGTGTATATACTATAGTTTCCTTGGAAGATTTATCTCTTCCCTCTGTATATATTTAAATTGTCCTAAGCCTGAATGTTATTGTTTGTTCTTGGGGAGATGTGGGTTCTTTTGCAGCAGTTATTCAAAGAGAGAAAAAGAATGAGACCTTCCAGATTTCAGAAAACATATCTAATGCTCACTTTCCCCAGAATCTGGAAGAGAGACTTCTCTGAAAATAAATGAGTCTAGACTCAGACAAAATCAGTCTATAGGAGACTCATGCATTCTATGTGTAAGATAATTTAAGGCTGAATAACCAAGCCCGTGAGAAATCAACTGATGAATGATGATTGCATTTCCTCCCGGGGTTCCAAGTGAGCTTGAAAATGGAGATCTCTATTGAAGATTAGGCAAATTCTGAGACAAAAACTAGTTTCTCAGGAGCTGGGCCTTATTCTGGTAGGAATGGAGCTCTTTCTCCCTCAGAGTGTCACAGTTCCTGAAGCCTAGGCACGTTGGTCCAGAGTACAGAAGCAGCATGAAGAAGGAGTGACTAATACATGTATGCCTGTTAGGAGACATCTGGAAAGGTTTAACCTCCACAGCAGGAGAACTTGGGTTTCATACTACCAGATAGTTTCTCATTTGTTTTACCTTAGAGTATGTACAGCCAGAATCTGATCACTCCCCACCTCCTCCACAGCTCCCACCCTGGTCGAAGCCACCATCATCTCTGGCTGGATTCCTACAGTGCTTTCTAATGGAACCTTTGCTCATATTGTTGCTCCAATAGTCTATCCATTGCATAGCAGCCAGAGTGATCCTTTCAAATGTAGCTCAGATCATATCATTTCTCAGAACCCCATTTCATTCAGAGTGAAAGCCAAAGTTTTTGCAATGACCTACTCAGCCTTTTATAATCTCACTCTCACATCTCCCTAACCTCTTCTTCCCCCACTCTCCCTCTCACTCACTCCGCTTCTATCATTTGTTCACTTGCTACTACTTGCCTGTCCTTGCCCCATCCTTCTTAACGTTGCTGTATTCTTTTTCCTGTAGAAATATATAGGAAATGATCTTATGTCCTTATTATCTTCTAAGGAATGGGTCTATTTATTATGTAAGTACCATGACGGAAGGGATCTTTGTTTTTTCATTTGTTCATTTATGTATACCAAGCACCGAGTTCTACGCCAGGCACACAGTAGTCACTTACGAAGCATGTGTTGAATGGATGAATGAATGAATGAGTTAACATTTTGAGTACACATTCTACGTACTCTGTGCCTAAGCAAGAGATGATGGAGACAACAAAGCAAATAAGCCAGAATTATTCTCAAAGAGGTGCTATGTCAGGATTCCAATTAGCATCATGAATAGCTGGCTTACCACTGATTATTAATTCATTCCTGTCAAACTCTAAGATGTGAAATAATCTAAGACACTTAAATAAAAGGGATGCTTTAGAAGGATGTTTCTGCATTAACTCTACCATAAAGGAGAGAAAAGTCAAGCTAAGTGCACATACACCTAAGACATTTCTAATTTTATGTCGTCTTCTTTTATAACTTCCTCAACTTAATTTTTTTTTGTTATACCTCTACTTAAATCAAAACAAAACAAAAATAGTTTCATTTTCTTGTAGCTACTGAGCAGGGAGTTGGTGAATGGATGGTGCTGTCAGGAAGAAAGATGACCTTCTCCCTTGGAATCAAAAGCTCCCAAGCGGGCACTACTCTGCTTAGCTTCTGATGAAGGCGGGCTTTTCTGAGGGAATAAAACACCCAGTGCCTTCATACTTCACCTTATTATTTAATAATTCCATCCCAAATTCCAAAGAGGTAGAACATTCACTCTGGAGAGTAGACGAAGTTTAAAAATTGTGGTTTTACAATGTCACTCTGCAAGTCAGTGACAAAGAGCTGAAAGAAAATAGGATGTGGTAGCTCATGGTATTAAGTCCAAGATAAAGACAAATTTCTGATATGATCTGGAAATCTACTTGGATAAAGAAGCACCTATTCTAACAGTTACAGGTCATCTACCCACTCAAATATGCATCATTATCTGCTGATTAAGTGACCATCTAGACACTGTCTAAATAAACATGCAACTTAATGAGGATGTGAGATCTACTCTGTGCCAGGCTCAATGCTTAGCTTAGGCGAATGTAAATTTACAAAATGGGGACTTGTTCCCTTAGGCATATGCTCATTTTCCAGCTAACAAATCTGATACTTGCTGACATTTTCACCATTTCATTTCCCCAAAACTCCTGTCACAAGCCCTAAATATTTTCAATGTAATATTGATTAAAATTAAATTGCAACCAAAGGCCATAGCCTCCAATAACATAAACTTGGATAGGAAATAAAAGTTTATGA